TCCTATAAGAATTTGAGATCACTTGTTATATCATGTGGCATATCGAAAGTGTGTCGAGGTTGTATCTAAGTTTAGTTAATCAAGTAAAGGGGTGTTTTTAAGACTGCCAATAATTCGAGGACGAAACTAATAATTTACGCCAAGTTTAAGGAGTGTATTTGATACTTCTCTCTTTAAAAAAAAAAATACAGCCATCATTGTAATTTCTTTAGTTTATTTGAAAATGTAATTACTGTTAAAAATTGTTTATTTTTAGAAGTATTTTTTCAAAATAATTTTTTTAATAGTATTTTTGAAAAAAAAATTATTTGTGTTTGACTAATTAATCTGAAAGTGGTTCTGATAAGTAGATTATGTTTGACCATTTTTTTTTAAAAGTCAAATTAGGAAAAAAGATAAATAACAATATTTTTTATTAAAGTTATTTTAAATATCTCTTATAAAATTTCTATTAAAGATAATTAAAAATATCAAGGAAAATAAATTTAACCAAACTTATGAGTTATGCTATTTAATTAATAAGAGACATATTAAAATATATATATATAATTATGATAGAAATATTTTGATCTTGAAAAAAATAAATTTAACCAAACTTATGAGATATGTTATTTAATTAATAACACTACATATTTTATTTCTCCAAATCATATGAATTTACTTGGCATCAACATTAATTATCAATTTATCATCTTTAAGCAATATATGGATATATATTAATTAGTTTTTTGATACATGCGTTGCACGTGATTACAGATTCAGAAAATATATGCTATAGTAAATAATATTGCTTATTAAAGCAAAAATTTGAATTATAAGCTTAGCACAAAATAATATTACAGATTCTTTTGTGAATGTTTAATGTGGATCGTCATATATATCTCTTATTCACGTGAACCTATGAAGATGATCAATGAAAAATTGTATTAGTTAAATGCAATAATGTATATATTTATTTCAATTTGATGAGTTTCAATCATATAATTAGTCGTATATCACTAATAGTACCGTATAGACGATATTTGTTGTGTATTTTTCTTGTCATCTAACTAGATGTGCTTTGCACGTGTGTTCACTTGTTCATCTTACACCCAACAAATATATAGTTCATATACTTGTAAACGATATTCAATTTATTCAACCAAGCATGATTCCTCAAAGGAAAAATAACAATATTGTGTTATCACATAGATAAGGATGGTATAATAATGTGAAAAATTATTGGTCAAAAGGTAATATAAGGAAAGATAAAAGATAGAAATATTTAATTTAATAACTATGAAATTCATAATATTATAACTTAGAATGCAAGAGAGTGTGAATAACATTTGCAATAATTACATTGTATATATAAGGTGAATTTTCTGGATTTATGTGGATATATATATTTTGAACCCCCTCAAAGACAAGGTGAAGGAGATAGCCCAGCGGTAGCTCCCTTCAATATTAAGACTGACGTCCAGGGATCGAATCCCTGGGTTAGCGTTTTTTTTTAGTTTTTTACTTTCAGTTTTTTTTTTGTTTTTTTTTTTTAGTTTCAGTTCCGATTTTCATGTTTTTGTTTTTTTTTAATAAAAAGTGCTAAAATGTGGTGTTAAACCCAAAAAATTCAAGGGTCCATACTCCCATTCCTAAATGCTAATAACTTTTTCACTTTCCAAATCCCTAAATCATTTTCTTGTTCTTCTCCAACACTCAAAACTCAAATATTAAAATCATCTCCCATAATATTCTATTGTTGATTTGACATATTTTAAAGGGCTAACTTTTTGTTTCACTGTAATCACTTATGTTAGTTTCGGATTTCTTGTAACAAAAATAACTTTTTGTACCTATAAACTATATACTACTACTTCCTTTAATTTTTTTTTGTTGACTTATTTACACGTTTATACTTTTATTTTTCGAATCCCCTGAACGAAAATCCTGGGTCCACCACTGTTTATAATGTTATAACTAAATAATTAATGTGCAATAGTTGAATTTCTAATAAATTTTATACTTAAATAAATAGGACTTTTAACTAATGTTACTATTTTTTATAAATATTAGATTTTAATTTAGTGTAGGGACAAAATGTAAATGTTTATTCCATATTACTGAATATTTTTTTTTTGTAATGATAAATTTTAAATGAGTCATATATATTCACATAGTTTCACATTTTTCGTATCTTTTTTAAAAAAAAAAAAAACTCGGAACATTTTAAAATAATATATTTTGAAGTTAGAAGATCTTGTTAACTTGATAATACATTGGTGGTATATATAATACTTTAATTTAAATATAAATACCTATCCAAATATAAATATATATTTGCATTAATGAAAATATTTATCTCATAAAAATTAGCTATAAAATAAATAATAAAAATTAAACTAATACAAACTTCAATTGACGTTATTACAAGTCAATGATCTTTTCTTTGTCTAAAATACAGAAATATTAAGAAATAGTAAATAAGTAAAACAAAAGGGCAATGTTTATATAGTAATAACTATTTTGAAGCAAATTTCCTGACAATCTAAAACACATAAGTAGCATTGATAAATAAAATCATTATTTAGTCTTGAGCATCAAAAAAACAAATCCCGACGATTCTCTTAATTATGAAAAAATATATTCAGAAGCATATATTTATATCACAAGATAACAAAAAAAAAATTAGACTACATCATGTTAACTTCATATATTGGAACATTGCATACTAATGTATATATTAAGAAAAAATAATAATTTATATCATTAAAATTATTTTCCTCAAGTAGTTGAGGTTATGGAATATACCCTCTTAGGATATAACGATTTAATTCATAAGAATAGTGGTACCTCATATTCCACTAAACTTGGTACTCAATCAAAGACAATAAATCACACAAAAATTTTAAAATGCAAGAAGAAGAAGAGTAGAAGATTAAAAAAAACTGTAGTTGAAAAATGAGAGGAAGACCCTCTATTTATAGTCAACAAATAATAGTATGAACAAATGTTTTTTCTATCTCATCTGAAAAGGCATGACTTTTTCGAGAAGTCACAACTTAATGAAAAAGTCACAACTCTTTGGAAAAGTCACAACTCATCGAAAAATCACAACCCTTTGAAAAAAATCACAACTCATCGAAAAAGTCACAACATAAGTTAGGGATATTATAGTAATTTAAAATCCAGGTTAGGAGTTCACGCTTTTAAGGTAATATAAATTAGCTATATTCAATCGATTACAAAATTTGTTATTGAGATCAATTAGTGACACAAGTTAATATAAACATCAAGTTTATGTTACTGTATGAATACATTTATCTTTTTCAATTTATCTGACATTAATAAAAACATTTGATATTGTTCGAATAATTATAATTCTAAATTTTGATATGTTATTATTTTTCTCAATCTTGCCTTTTACTTATAAATACTTGACTCTAAAGAAAAAATTCCATTCAAACAACAAAACATTATAAGGTTGGTCGAGAATAAAATAAATAATTTAACTAAATGAAGATTAAATAAAACGTATATCAAATATGTCATTATTATTTTAATTTATTTTATTTTAATTTAATAATTTTTTGGACTTTTGATGTTCAATTATCGAGTGAAAGAAGATCTCTTATTGCTATTGCTAGATCAATCAATAATTTTTTGTGTCACATTCTTTTTTGAAAGAACTCAACTAATTTCAATCTCGTTCATAGTTGACTTAGGTGTTACGATTCGTGACTAATGTTGATCGGACTTTTTTCGTATAAATACTCGACTTTAATACTTGTCTGATAGAAAAAATGATTCGTATAAATACTTGACTCTAATACTTAGGGTCATTTGGTGTGATGGATGAAGAAAACTAATCTTGGGATAAATTTTTAGTACCCCTCAATTCTTTGTTTGGTCAAAGTATGGGATGACTTATCCCATGACTAATAATTATGACTAGGATAAGTTATCCCTACTTAGTCCTTTTTTATAAGCAAATAACTTATTCTTAGAAGGTATTTTTGTAAACAACCAACTCATTCTTAGAAATTATGTACGGCATATTTGACAAACCAAACAACCAATAAAAATAATATCAACATAACTAATCCTATCATAACTTATTCCATCATAATCCAACGTAACTTGTCTTCAAACCAACGACCCCTTACACTCTGTTTGGATCGTTGTTACCCATTGTTTCATAATGTACTGTATTGTATTGTATTGTATAATAGATACAATGTTTGACTAAACTGTATTGTTTGTTGTTGTTGTTTAATAAAAAAATTATTGTTTGATTTGACTGTATCGTATTGTATTGTAATTTATAAATTTACTAAAATATCCTTTATTATTCTAGGGTAGGAGGTTTGACTAGAATTAAATAATATAGGGTAAAGGGTAAAATAATATTATGAAATATTATGTTAGGATATAATTGGAAAAAGAAATTAAGTAACAATGCGAACACACCAAATCAGTTGTTCCATAGAATGGGGGTTTTCATTGTTATGTAATAACGAAATTTAACAATACAATACAATCCATTTTAAGTAGCAATCAAAACAAACATTGTAGGTATGATAACGATACAATACAATGGGTAACAATGATCCAAATAGAGTGTTATAGTATCCAAAATAAATGATTCTATTTAAGCAACGAAAGATGCAAGGTTAGTCGATCATCATCTTTTTGAGGGTCCTACCAAACCATTTTTGAAGTTCTTATACATCTACAGTTGCATATTCAAACTACAAAATTCTTTCTGAAATGGTAGAATTCGTCATTCAAGATTTTATAGAACTTGCTCACCAACTGAGATTCTAATGAAATCGGGGCTCGATTTCTGACTTTTGAGTACTTTTCTCTTCAACCGAAAGATGAAGGTTCGAGAAATCCAACTCGAGTTTCGATTATCAGGTATTTTGCCTGAACCTGAAAGCAGAATAAGATTATCATCAACTTGAAAAATTCTAAAGTTATCATTCTGAAGGATACCGGTATGCAGAAGATCTGATACCTTCGCATGAGCTGCTAGCAAAATGATTCCAGCTCAAGTATATGTCTATAACCAGCATTGCAAACTGCTTGTTCCGATAGTGTGCCTTAATTTGTTCACTTGCTTTATCCAACAAATCATCCTTCGCAGAAAACAGGAAAGAGCATCAAATGTATGTAGAAAAGAAGAATGCATCTTCATTAAGAAAAGGAACTGACATGAATTACAGATTATAAATGCTTAAGAACTTACAGAAGACTTCGTCACAGGATCAGTTCATGTAGCGAGTGTCAAAGCTGGGACATTTGTAATTTGATCAATAGATTCCAGTCCTGGAAACTGCCCTATATCATGTCCTTCAAGTGGCTTATATTCATCATGCAAACCAACAGCAAACTCATCTGAGCAAGGACCACCTTGTTCGAAGTAATCTGCAATCTGTAGGGAAGGTCCTATTATAAGCTTGGGAATAACATTTCAGCTTTAAACGTCAGAGTAAATTCAAAAAAATGAGTACACGTTAAAGACACTGTGAAGAGTCCCACATCGGCCCTTTAAGGGTTGGGTGGTCTCTTTAATGTGGCTTGGACAATCCTCACCTCTTGAGCTTAGCTTTAGAGGTTGAATTAGGGCCTAGATCCATTTCTTTATGGACACAAACATGAACAAATATTACTCTGGTTTAAGTTTATACATTTTATCATAATTAGCAGTGAGCCAATAATAACGAGACAGAAAAATGAAATTCAGGGGGATTACTTGATCAGCAAGAGCTATGCCACTTAAAGCTGCAGCCTCTAAACTTGATCCAAGTAGCCAATCACCACATATACCAGCCCTTCCACGAGGATCAAAGAAGCATGGAATTCCAGGAGTGTTGGTTGGAAGAGCTGCACCCCTGCAAATTAGTAAAATAAACCATATGATTACAGATAGATAGCAGGGAAGAATTTCTTCTTCAATAGATTTAGTAAAAAGATAAGCAGAAAACTCCTAAAAAGGAAAACAGGGAAGTGGCATTAACAGGACTGGTTCATTCAAGTTTTACAACAAAGCAACACACCATACTGCAGAACCATGCAGTACGCGGGGAAAGAAACATGAGGACATTTGAAGGCAAGAGTAGGCAGTAGCTAAAGAAGTTGCTTATACATGTAATGTTAGAGCTCCTATAGCCAAGATTCAACAGCTCCTGTTTTAATTTGCTTTAGTTTTATTTTGCTGCTTGCAACTGAGTCTTAAGTAGATAGCGAACTGTGATAGTTTGCTATGGTTTTGTCCTGCTTATCCTTTGGTGATTAATAAATTGTTAGTTAGTCCCCACCTCCACCCACCCACCCCCAAAAAAAGCAACACACATTTCTTAGAATACATAGCTTTCTCAGCATAGCACCAAGTCATGTTCTTGGACAATAACTGTAACCGAGACTCCAAATTCAACTGTTCAAATCCAATACTAACCCTAACATAGGAGCATCTACTTGATAAAACACCCTCAGTGTTACCCAGAACCAGTTTTTCTTTGTGAGAACAGCTTCAACTCCAAGATATTCGACATGCTTCAGGAACTACAGTGCAGTAACAAGAAACACGACCATTGCTATAAAATTAGCAGCTTTAGAAGAGAAGAACCTACTAATAACACTCCACTCCCAACTAACAAAATTGTTCAACTGTTTACTGCCTTAGATTGAAATTGGAAAGATGTGAGCTTGAAGGATCAACTGCCTCGATAAATTATATTAGAAAATCTATGATCAATAACAATGAAGAGAACTCTCCGTCACCCAAAATTATAGAAAAAACGTGTAGGAGAAGAGGTAGTCTTTTGCCATCTCAGAGAAGGTAATATAATTAAAGTGTCGGTCCATGTCATGAAGAAAATTCATTTCAATTGATCCAGATAGAAGAAGCTGAGAAGTGAAAAATGTGTCCTGAATAAGGCTTAATTTGTACAGGTAGTCGTGCAGCATCTCTATGCCATAGTAACAAATACTCTATGTGATAGTTCTCCGTTCAGTTTCTCATTATGTATTAAGCATTTGCGACAATTAGCATACATTGACTAGATTGTTCAACTTCATACCATAGTTGTAATTTTGTATAAAATGGCTTTTTGAGTGAGCTTTTTGATAGTCCTAGAGCCTTCTCAACACCCTCAAGCATAGCTTCCTTCACTTTCTCTGCCGTAGCATTTGGAATACTTTCCTGTTAAAGAAAATTTGATCATTCACGAGTATGCCGAATGCCGTCAGTATATGTATATGTGCACAAACACACACACACCCCACAAATAATATACATACATTCTTCACCTGAAAAGTTCTCACAACAATCACACTGTCCATGTATGTTATGTGGCTGCTGATATAGCAACTTACGACAAATCACAAAAATTTAGCCATCGCCTAAAACTTGGCTCAGAACCTCCTATTTAACAAATTTAAATATTGGAAACACTTCAAATATAATATTAAGCTAATACAGCTGCCAAGGGCCAAATATAATAAAACATGAATGATTGCCCTGCCTGCCTATCACTCACTTTTTAGACAGTTTAGGAGGGGCATAGGTGATAGATCTCTTTGTTTTGCTTACTGTATACTCCTGATGTAATTACTAAATAAAATACACTATTGGTGTATTTTTGTCTACAAAATGTTAAACTTAATCAAAAAAATTAGAAAGGAGAAGAGTCGAGTTTCTCCCAGTTGTGGAGTAGTCTCCGTTCCCTTAGTTTGTTTTGGTGTAAGCAGAAAGCTCCTTGTTGTATAGATGCTTGGGCGGAGTTTGTAGAGAATCATATTTTGGTATACCCCTTGTATACGGACAGTTCAGCCATGTTTATGAATGAAATACATTTACTTAATCAAAAAATAAATAGTTTGAGCTCAAAGCATTGTCACAGAAAGAGACCTGGGGGACTTTGTTCTGCTTTCCAAAGGTTGCAGTGCTGAAAAATGTCCAACATTGTGGACCACTATCTGAAGCTAAGAGTTTCTTAGTGTTGTTTGCCATCCATGAGACAGATTCAACCCCTTTTACAAAAGCTCCTTCAAAGGGAAGGGACGCTGCATTTAGTGCAGTTGGCAGGGGATCCTCAAATGCAGCAAGAAGAGCCCATATAGAACTGAGTTCAAGTCTCTGTGAAAGGATATGAAAAAAAAAATCATGAATTGAAACAATAAAACCGGAAAGAAAAAAAAATCAAGATACACATGCATCGATGAGAGAAGACCAGCTAATATTTGCCAATACCTTCATTTGTTTTGCAATGAGGGGTAAGCCTGATGCCGCAAGCAATCTATTTGCACATTTTCCTGGCGACATGTAAAACAAAATATGAGTGTACCCAAGGAGAAATCACAATTATGAAGAAGGTGTAAGTATCTGTGCTTTCTCTAGTACACTGAATGCATAAAGTCCTGTCAACATAAGCAAGCAACAATAAACTTACACATAAACACTAAGAAATCATCAAAAGATGCAGGATTAAAGTTACTGTCCAAAAAAATAAAAAAAGATGCAGGACTAGACCAATAGCAGGATGGATTGACAGAGGTCATGCGGCATACAGTTTCATAAATACTATACTAGATATGTGTCTCCATGGCTTTTGTTCCATTGGACTAAGAATTGGCCTGCCACCAAGGCAGAATCAAACATCAAAACTCATCATCTATTTGTTCATATACCATAGAATTGTAAAAAGAAAAAATCAGAAGTGGATAGGTGGTTTTTTTAATTTTGCCTTCGGGTCTACTTTTGAGTGCTAGATTAATCATCATTTAATTGATTAATCATTTTGGTCTGTCTAGTAACTTCTTAATGGTCCATGATCATCGTCTTTTCCATGTCAATATTTTTCTTATCTCAAGTCCATTCTAGGAGTTTCGTACAGCTTTGTTCTTTCTTAGGCTTTTGCTTATTCTATTTAATTAAATACTGATTGGGTCAGTGCAACTATTTAACATTTAAAACCTTAGTCTTCGAAAGCCTAATAATTATTTCATACTAAATACGCATTTTCAAATTTTTTGTGAAGACCAACTTCTCTTCTTCAAACAAGCATAAAGCGTTATTCACATATGTATTCTTTATCAGTGCACTTATTCTCTAACTTGATAAAGTTTTCCTCTTGACATTACCAGTTGCATTTACTCCTAAAATCGCATGGCCAAAATGTTGCAAGATCTTGACATTACCAGTTGCATTTACGTTTTTATAATAAGGTAAGGTGGTTTTATTAATCACCATATAACTCATTACAGACATTTTTATTTATCCATAACCCTACTGTTTGTTGGTGATAATGAGAACGATCAAAGAATGCTTTTAGTTCCCATAGATCAAGGACAATTAAAACCTTGAAAACAATTGACAACCGAGAAATTTCTGAGGTTAGAGGAGCATGATTTGAAACTCGGTAGACATGCACTTTACACCACAATTCGTTTTTGTCTGCAGCACGGTTCAAAAACCCACGATGTGCGCCTAATCTACACATCACGGTCACTCTTATCACTAGACCAAAACCTTGGGGGCTAAAAAACTCAAATAATTTATTCTTCAATGAAACATGGAGATAAAATTACTTGATTAAAAGAAGAAAAGAAGGCACACGGAGATACACTATGGAAAATAAAGGTTTTTCTACTGCATATAAGTTGAATAGCCAAAAACAAACATAGCTATAAGGAAAAGATGATAAAATAAAAGATAACAATTATTAGTTTACTTCAATAACTCCCACCCATAGCTATGAGGCGAAAAGGCTCTTTGAAGTGAAATATAGCCAAAAAATATGAGCATCTTCTCTTTCACCACCACTGGCTTTTGTCCTCTTTGACAGATTAAAGAGATAAACTCGATGAAGGTTTGCTTCAGCACATTAAAATTTTGCTAATTTTTGCAAAGGAAAAGACTATCTAAAGACAAAACTACAATATAAATTGTAAATAATTACCATTATGTGCAATGACAATTGCATCAAACTGCCCACAAGGCTTCTGCTTCTCACTCAAGTGCCACGTCCCATTAAATGGTTCAAGTGCGCTTACCCAACAAGGCCGTACCACATCGACCAAAGAAGTCTGCCCAACATATCAAACTTTTATAAAATTGAGGGGAAATAGAACCCCAAAAAATGACGCAACCAAAACTTAAAAGGACAGTGAAAAAGTGAAATTTCATAAACTTACAAACACAAACATTAAAGAATTCCACTAAGCATACATTCTCAACAAACAAATTTGAAGGGAGTTGTTTAGTTGAATGGAGGCATTATGAGAAGAATGGTGTTAAGTATTACACAAAAGGTTATGCACCTGAGATAGTAATGAATCCGCAAGTGGGCGCATTCCATTGACCCCTATATATTTAGGAGGTGAAGAAGGAAATGGAACAAAATGCCCACCAACTTCAAGCTCACCAATTGTACCCTTCCATTCACGAACCAAACCTCTCTTCAACCAGTCATCAACTAGCTCAGCAAACTTGGGGTTTGTCACTGTGAAGAACTGAGCTGCATGGTCAAATATCAAAGGCTGATGATCAATCATTCTTGTTCCCATTCTTCCTCCCAACCCATGTATTCCCTAAAGCAATCGAACATGATAAGAAGATACACCATAACATTCTTCTACTGTGCATCATCATATAACTACCGATAACTGACAAGCAATTATAACAACCAGACGGCACAGATAGTAATTCTTTTAATGAATGTTTGACAGCGTAAAATGTAAAACTTTGCCATACATATTTAGAGAAGAAACAAATGGCATTGATAGTAATTGTTTGAGAGAAGCCAACTTTATACTAGTTTTGGTTTCAAATCATTTAAACACGATTAAATACTTGAACTACTACATTCATGGTCATGTCAAAACAAAATGTAAACTGAGATGGAGGAGTACTATACTCCCTCGTTCAGGTGTCTTGGTTTGACAGGGCACAAAGTTTAAGAAATAAATGGACACTTTTGAATCTTGTCATCTTTAATTACAGAATTGTGTAGTCCTTTAAATCTTGTGGTCTTAAACTTGAAGATAATATGTTGTAATTGAAAAACTTACTAAATATAGAAAGACACACTCTTTCTTGGACAGTTTCTTTCCAGGGGAAGTAAACATTATCACAAACGGACTAAAACAATGCAATGTGAAATAGATTCAAGAACGCAAAAAAGGGGAAAGGAATAACCAACCGTGTCGAAAACGGTTGAACGAATGCCTCTTTTCTCCAAGTAAAGAGCACAGGTAAGACCAGACATTCCACCTCCAATAATCCCAACTACAGGGTCATCAGGAATGGGTTTAGTAAAATTAACTTGTTCTTGACTGAGACTTTTCTTGATAGTTGATCTTCTTGAAGTTCCATATCTGGGTTTGAATTTTCTTGGACTTGTGCTTCTTCTCTGTGTGGGATTCCTGGACTCCATACATCCCTTAATGCTTGATTTTATCGGGTTACAGCGATTTGGGGTAATGGGGTTTGAAATAATGGGGAAGAAAATGGATACATTTGGGAATCTTGAAGATTTGAGAGGTTGGTGAAGGAAGGAAGAAGATAGAAGGGGGTTATTGCAAGCGCTGTTCATGGAGGGATTGGAGGGAAAAACGAAGGGCTGAGATATTGAAGAAGACAACTTTAAGGATAACGCTATTGTTATTATTATTATTTATATACGACTAAAAACCAATATCTTAATGACACTTAAGGATAACGCTATTGTTATTTTACTTACCAAAAACATAAATTATTTCAAGTGAATTATATATATTAAAAGAATTGAAATATTTAGAAAATTTTATACTTAAACTTTTGTAACCTTTTAAAAGTAATTTTGAGTTGATCGAGATTGAACAATTGTATATACTTATATATAGTTTGTACATATAGTTAAGTTGTATTCAGTTTTTTTAGTGTATCACAATATATAGTTAGTGTATAGTTCTATATATGTAAGCTTTATTGTATAATCAGCGTATGTTTTTATATGACTTTTGATAAGCTATATTATATAGTTAGTGTATATTTTCTATTATTTTGGCAAAGCTATATTATATAATCAATGTATACTTTTTTATGATTTTTGGCTATTTTGTATGTAAATAAAACATGACTATATTTATCGTAAATGAATATGAAATCCCAATTTAGAAATATTATCCAAAATGCCATTCAGCTTAGAAATTAGAAGTTTACTCATAATTAAAGAATCTCACTTCCCACGGTGAAGTAAATATAGGAGCTTGTGTTCACACGGTTTCAATATGTGTCATTTTATATCTCAATTTATGTTGTACAAATGAAATTCTGAAAGTTGAACAAATTTTTATATATTTTTTGAAATATTTGAAATTGTTAATTATTGATTTATAATTTATCAGTCTCATTGTCCCAATTTGTGTGGGACTGATAGAATTTGGAGAGCCAACTAAATTTTTTATATGGTTTTTAAATCGTTAATTATTGTGAATGATTTTTTTTTTAACGTAGTATTCAAATAATATATGTGACTCCTTTTGTCTCAATTTATGTGGCACTAATAAAATTTTGAGAGTCATTCAAAATTTTAATATTTTTAAAAAATATTTTAAGTTGTTAATTATTATAATTTTATAGTACTTTTGACATAACTTTTAAATATATAATCTAATATTTTCAGTTGTTCACTATTGTTCAAATATATAATCAATTAAAAGGGAAAGAAAGACAAATATTTAAACTGAATACTAAATTTTTCAGAAATAAGCCCCACATATTTTGAGCAAATCACTCTAAGCTACAGGCACATAACCAGAGGCGGATCTATTAAGGGGTTTGGGGGTGCCACGCCACGCCCGAACTTCGACGAAAACTCTATATATACATAGGTATATATATATAATATTTATATTTATATAAAGCGTGCCACCCACAGAACAAAATTGGCTTGTGGTGCCACGGTAGGAGGGCAACTTTAGAAGGCTGATGTTGCGGGTTCGAATCCCATTTGTACCTATTTTTTTGAGAAAGACGTTTTTTTAAGAAAAAGGAAATTGTTGCACACGTTCTTTTAAGATAGATTAGAGAACTAAAATTAATTTATATCGAAAAGACGAATAATTTAATCAAATATAAAATTAATTTAATCGATAAGTCTATTTGGCACCCACGGAGTCTAAATCCTGGATCCGCCACTGCACATAACTCAAGCACACACGTCGTCTAAGAATTGTATACTTATAGGCTCTTATTAAATATAAGTAATAAAGTAAAAATAAGTTTCATAAATAGTATTTAACCCCCCGGGATACACCCTTTTGCACTATCACTATCCCATTACCACACACACTATCCTAATCGCTGCTATTTGTCTTATATTTTATATAAATACTTTTGGAATAATATTTTCGACTTACCTATTGAACACAAGATACTCCCTCCAGTTCAATATAAATAAAAAAATTTATGGCCAAACCACTCCGAAAAAAAATTCATGACCAAACACGTACAAATCACACAATTAGGCAGAATATAACAAAGATTGCATACGGCAGCGGACCAAGTAATATACAACAACAACAACATGCCCAGTGAAATTCCACAGGTGAGGTTTGGGGAGGGTAGTATGTACGCAGACCTTACCACTACCTCATGGAGGTAAAGAGGTTGTTCCCGAGGAGCAAGAAATATGAGTAAGGAAATTCAAATTATGTCAACATAGTAATTTAAGATGACATAAAAATGAAAATAACATGGTTTGGTTTCTTTTCAAAATGATGAGCAGCCAAACAGCCACTTATGCCTCTCTCAGATCACAACTCCATAGGATCCTTTTATAGGACAATATTACAATCAGTCGAACTATATATTAGGGTACAATATATCCCCTCTTCTTTGACATGGTTTATCTACCTTTTTTTTTTATAGCTATGCTGGTTCAGTGTGACCCTTGCAGAAGACCTCAGTGCAACGACAAACTGGTCTACCAGAGGACTCCCATCCATTAAAACCACGCTCCAATACCATAATGTTTTTTATTCCCACATCATCTTTCGATTCAGCTAGATATTCTGCAAGCCTCCTTGCACATTTTGGTCCTCGAACCTAGAAAATAGTCATTCACAACTCAATAAGTTCATTCATATGTGAAAACAAGAGACGTGGATAGGAGGTAGTATTCTCCTCTTGTACGACACAATTCAACACGTTAAATGAATAGTTCTTTTTGAAGATGATGTAATATTCAGTTTCCATTAACATACCACTCTTGCATTATGAAAGAACTTTTGTAGAGAAAAAGTTATTAGGGAGAAAAGTAACTATTTGTATTTATTAGCTTAATATAAATTAAAGCCAAAAGGAAGTGCTACTACTTGCACTATGAGAGAAAATCAAGTATGAAAAATATTCATAACTACTACAAAAGTTAGAATTTGAGTTAAATAAGTTATAACATAACCATTCCATAACTCTAGACAATATTAAACATTTTTGCTCGTTCGATCTTTGAAAAAATCCATGACTGTAATGTATTACAGTGCGCACAGGGTAAAACTCCCGCTCCTATGCAATAGCTCGCAAACCACACATGAGAGGTAAATTTGTAATGTATTATTAAACTGGCAATGTACAGTATTATACCTTTAATGTAGCATACGAGTACTCTCTCTCTCTCACTTAACACTTCCTGTGCACTAGGCTTAGAATAGGGTCACAAGTGCAATTTCAAAAACCAAAAGCAAGAATTAACATAACATGACCCTTAAGGGTTTAAACTATTGCTATTTTTCACAGTTTTGAGAAAGCAAGCCTTATTTTAAAACTTTACCTCCTATTTCTAGATTTATTTGTTGTAATTACAAGTTGACGCCATCAGCTATCAGTTGTCTCATTTCCAGGTTTACTCCAGACTAGCAGCACTGCAAATTGCAACTTCATGCTTCTGATAATCACAGCCTAGGATATTGCTTTGCCTTTCTCTATCTCTCTAGTCTAACGTCTACCCTAATCTTTCTACATACTTTATTCATTGAACTTTTAGTTGTTGCTTCATCCACGAGATTGACATATATAGCAAAATTATAATACAAATGACATATCCACCAATGCTAGCACAAAGAGTTACGAGATGCTTCATCTTCTCCTTTATTGAAATGGATATACATTCCAAAGAGACCACTAAACAAAGTTTAATCAACTTTTTTATCATAGCTTTACATATGACCCAACAATGTCCCCCACACAATCCTTCTGAATTTCGAATAATCCTCAAGATCGGATTGAGGAATACAGAATGCTATTGGAAGAAAAAAAAGCTCGCCAACATGTTTTAGTTAATGGTTAAATGGTAAAGGACAGAGCTATATATCTTATCAGAAGTTGTCCCACCAAATGAAATTAAAACATTGTGCAGCAGAAGTATCTCTCAAGCTTTTACAAAGAGAAAAATGCTGCAATTTGTTCCTGAAGATTCCAAACATGCGGAACTATGTATAATATAATGATTGTCTAGTGAACATCCGAAGTTGGACAACAATATATCCTTAATTTGTTATTAACCAAAGAGTAAAAGCTTTTGGTGGTAGGTAAAACTCATGGACGGAAATTGTAAGCCTATGCCAAACATGTAAGTTCATCACTAGTGCACGCTGCACAGTACAATCTGAACAGTCAAAGATTGGAACAAATAACTTTTTTGAGAAGGTAGATTGGAATAATAACTTCAGGAACCAAATTTTTGAATCCCAGCAAAGCCGACAGCCCTAACACCACCATTTGGCGTTTAGGGGGAAAAAGTTGGGTATTTGTGACTTGTGACTTGTGAGGACTCAAGGATTGTTACTCTGGAGCAATTCCAGAACAAAACCAAGCTTTGAAGGTTTATACTAAGGCATAATGTGCTTTCAGCAAAGAGACAAAGATATCAGTGGCATGAGTACTTTTAGTCTACTATTCACTTCACAACACTCCAAGAATTTACTGAAGGGGTCCAGAAATTTCTGGCATATTACATGTTAAACTGAACCTCGGATCTCCTCCATGCGCTATAATTAATTTTAGGACTACACTACCTAATATTTCAGAGAAGCTTGTAGGGTATGACCGCATGAAAGGGGCATAATCTTGATACTAGGAAGGACACTATAGCAACGAAGAATATTCATAATAAGGGAGAAAAATAAGATGAGACTCTCTAATTAGTCTTTCCCTGCTTCATTGTGTATCTTTACTGATCTCGATATCTCTAGTTCCACCAACTGCAATAACTCTAAAAAGTTATTTCTCCGACTAGTAGCAGTTGAAAATCCTATAACACTGTCCTTTCCATAGTTTTGACCAATTCAAAATTCAAGCCAGTAATCCCTACATATACCAATCAATTGAAAACCAATAAGGAGATGCGCAGAAACTTGTAGAGTGATGAAGATATAACTGAGAATCCAACCAGATACAATCTTTACCAAACACAATATGGATAATGTAATGATCTGGCACTTGAGCCTAACTCAACCCTAAAAGCTAGCTCAAGGGGATGATTGCCAAAGTCCATATAAGTAGATCATCCAACCAATGTGGTGCTCTAACCCACTTTAACTGTTTAACAACCCCTTAATACAGGCTCAAGCAAGGATGGACTTGGTTCCGATATCAT